TAGAGATGTCTATAGGCTACGGTCTCTTAACTATTTTAGCGAAATTAGATTGCTACTTTTTAGATTACTAAATTACTTGCTTGATTGCCATTTTTATACTATAAAATTGAAGATTTAGCGGTATGCTGATTGTTGTTAAAATTTCTATAATGAATGGAAGCCAAATCACGAAAAAAATGTGGTCGTGTGAAAAAGTAGTTCTACTAATTCAAGTATCTTTCCTTTTCAATAAAGCTATTTAGTTATCTGTGTTTTACTTATTTTATCTTATGTTTTTAAAAATAACATTTAATTAAAAATATACAAGTTACTACACTTGGACCTTCAAAATTATAAGGTCAAGCCGTTATACCTTATCTGACCCTGAGGAAATTTTGCGATAAACAAAAGTAATATAAATAAAAATATTCAAGAAACTCTATCACAGTAACACTAGTAACAAATTCTCGCGTTCTCAATTTTCTTAAATGAATTGTTTTAATAATAACCAATGTTATTCGAATTCATTATATCTTTACAAATCCACTTAATCTTGTACAAAATTAAGGAAATAAAGTAACAATGTTGATCATAAAAAGTAAAAAAAAAAATAGACATTGAAGGTTAAAGATAATTTAAAATAAAGTCTTTGTCTATTATTCTACGCGATTGTTTAAATCTAACTAATAATATAAATGCGAAAGTTTAAACGGATGGGTGAATGTTTGTTAGAGTTTTTAGCCTAAACTGCTGTACGGATTTGGATGAAATTTCACTTAGATGTAGAGCAGAGTACGGAAGAATACATAGGCTACTTACTTTTGTTTTTTTTAATACCACGCGGACGGAGTCGCGGGCGTTCCATAATTTGAAAATTTTCATTTCATTCAAATTCCATAATGCAGACTTAATGCCTGTTATTCATGTACGCCAGTTGTATGACACCTACACACATCATAGCAGTCAAGACAAAGATCCTGTGACCCGTTAGGTTATAACAGGAATTGCTCGTTAACAGTAATTGAGTCTCCGGTACTCATCACTCATTGGAAGGAACTCGTCTAATGTACTAACGATGTTTTGTTTGTATTTTTAACCGTAGACCGGCACAAATTGATGTTAAAAACAACTTGGGATAAGACCCTATTTATGGTAGCTAAAATGTTATAAATGCGAATGTTTGGATAGATGGAATCTGTTAAAATACATAGGTTCGTTTTTTTTTAGTTCCGCGCGGACGAAGTCAGAGCATAAGCTATTTTATAACGCGTCACGGCAGTTAAGACGCATTGTATATAAACTCGAACTATTTATTTTATTGTCTAAAACCATAATTACGAAGCAAGTAATTAAGTTTTAAAATAACTAATTCACTTTTTTGTGTCTGTTTACTTCCTAGTTTAGAATCATTGTTTTATTATTCAAAGATTGCAATTAAAATTAAGTATGTATTTCAACGTTTCGTTTTAATTTTACATCTAAGCTGCTACCAGTTTTGATTCCTAATCATGATTAAATCACACGGACTTTATTTACCCTTTGGCTATACTTTTCACAGAGGCCATAGTCACTATTTTTTGTCTTTTTACTTCAATTTTTAGATAATAAAATGAAGAAAAAGAACAAGTTTTAGTTTCAACTTGCAGTTTTTATTTGACTTTTTGCCTAATATTTTTGGTAAGCTAGCGTATCAATTTTCTCTACTTGTGTAAGGTAAACGCCATCTCTACCGTATAGACGGTAGTGATAGCGTTTCGATGAATAGTAAAAAATTAAATTTCATTGAAATCCATTCAGCCGTTTAGACTACTAACTCTAACAAACATCCATGCACACATCTGAACTTTCGCATTTATAATAATAGTAAGAATTTGATATGTAGGGATACGAAAAGTATCCAATCCTGTAATACTGACATTTACGGTTTTAGCGAACCATCTTACAGACCTTCTCTTTTAGAACTAGCATAAAACAAAAACCAGTTATGTTGATTCATGCAAGCGGGTATCCTTACTTTTAAAGGTTATTCATCAATTGTAACTTTAGTAATTATCAGAACACTTATTCTTTGACACATTAGAAACAAATTGATCACTTTTCTAACATTTATTGTAAAACCTGTTTATTGTATACTTATTTTTCGCTCTAGCATCGTCTATCGATACATAATTAGATCCTACTTGTTTAGCGGATTTAATGTACAAAGAAAAATGAAACCTAACGCATAGACGATAGATTAAGTGGACTCAATTAAAATTTAAATAATCTTTTATTGAGCATCTCTATCATTCTATATTTATTGCTAAAAGACCATAGATTATACATTTCATAGTACACAAAATCATATTCGAACATTTTTTTTGTAATAAAAGGTGATAAACAAGCAAGCGGCCACCTAAATGCGCCAAAATACGGAAGCGACCGCTGCCCATAGACATGCGCAATTGCAGATGCGTTGCTTATCCTAAATCGACAGAGGAGGAGACGCACATAAAGAGAAAAGACATTTCCCTTTCCATCCTTTCCTTATAAGAAAAGGGTGGTAAGAGAAAGGGACTTTAATAAGGCCTCCAGCACCACACTCATCAGACGAAACGCGGAATTGCTTCCACTTCAAGCCTATATTCCGTGTGATCGTGATATTACGACAGGCGAGCCGAAACATTCATTCGAAGATAGTAAAACGGGCTCTACCACTGTTAAATACATGACACTAATAATTCCCCAGAGAATTAATAATTTTCGCTGGCATGTTTTTGTGTGGATTTTCTTTTTTTGTGTGTATGTATGTCAATGCTGATTATTATTGTCTTAATTAAATGTTATGTTTGTCATTTGTTAGCTAATTAAATCTTGCGTGTAGCTGCGCTAAACTGAGAACTGTAATGTTTACGTTACAGTTAAAAATTTAGGTGTATTATTTTAACTGGAATATCGAACATTTTGTTTAAAAATGGTCAGTTGTAATTGAATGTGTATAGTTGCCTTTAGCTAGCTGTAGGTCATAATGTGGAAAACTCGCACTAAGTTACAGTAACTTTAAGGCCAGGGTCATAAAATTGCATATTACCTTATTATTATTAGCAGTTTTTAGTATGTAATAAAAATGCTTATTTATCTTATTTTCTGCTAGTCGCTTGACAAATTATGTAATTCTTGGAAGGTCATAATAATTAAATACAAATTATTTATTCACGTAAATATGTGGAAAGTTATCATAAAATTAACAATGCTATATTGATTTCTCATTAGTTGTCTTAGCATTAGATAAGTAATAGGCTTAAGAGCACATTATTTAATTAACGAATTACTATTGTATGCATTGAAAATTTAAAGTTTAAGAAGTAACTAAATGTTAAGCGGAAACTCTATTTTTGGATTAATTTCCGTTTCAAAAAACAAAACCATACCATTTACACGAAATAATGTAATAGATGATATGTTAGAAATAATAACATGCCTACTCATTTTATTTTGCAAAAGTTCTATGTTATCGTATACTGAGTTAATTACAGTAAAATAATAAAGAAAAAGGATTATTTACTATATTAAATACCCCACTTTTAAATCTTACCTTCGCATTGCTCGGCGGGTGTAACATTAGTATCTGCCAACGCCAGAGCTATAGATACCGCGGCCAATACAAACACAATGGACGATAAGTTCTTCATATTTCAGAGTGGCGAACACGACCGCACGGACAAACGCAACTGACCAAATTAATTTAACCGGAGGGAGCAAACAAGTTTTGACTTTGGGCCAGGTCAAAGTTACATTTGAGCAAAAGATTACAGAATTGATAGAAGTGGCTTCTCAGAATTAGATATTTTGTTAAGGTATGAGAATGTTTTTTTTGCAATCAAATCATTTCGCGACTTTCAATGTCAAATATTTTATCAATGACAATTTTTTGCCTACTTTACACTCTGTATTTGAAAGGTTATTTAAGCAATACCCTAGTACAGATTTAATGTAAATAAACTGCAATTAAATGTAATGTTCTCATCAGAAAACATTATTTTTTAACATGTTATAAATAACTTTAATACGATTTTATCTTTACGATATGTTAACACAACGTTAAATATGGGAAATAAAGTAAAAAAAACATAATTCATTGAAACGATAATCTTTACATGCAAAAATCATATCTTTTTATTTTTTCTTAAGTCCTGCCAGCCACGACAGGTTATTACATGAATCCTTTGTTTCTTATTTCTTTCAATAATGACTTTTTCGTTCCTTGAATATCTCTTCCAGGTATTATTCAAAATTAAATTAAAAATAAACGTCCTAACGTCTTTCGACACGAACAAAAAGTAATTACTGTCTACTTTTTACTTCAGTTGTTAGAACCAAAAAATCAAAACGCAAAAAGAAAAACAGAGTTAAATTAAAAATAAAACCACTTTCATTGTAATAAAAATATATTATAATTACTTATAAACATGAGGCAGTTTAAATTATGAGTGCATTCTTAACAGTTAACAAGTTAGAAAGTGCTAAGGTCTGTCAGTTTTCTTCTTAAAAACGTAAGAAAATTCAATTAATATCAGACGTAAATTAATTCTTACAACTAAATATTTATTTACAAATGAAAATATTCGATACAAACACATAAAAAAACGAAAATAAAATAATACTGTTAGTTCCAACTTAAATATTTCAAAAAACAATTTTGTTAAGATTGTATATATACTTAAAAATATCGCTTTCTTAAAGCTTGGACAAAGTATAGTAATACAAAACACAAATAATAAAAAATATAATCAAATGCTCGCCACGGCAATATAAAATAAAGGGCCAATGAGTTGCGAATCACCGGGCAGTTTGTCGCTCATAAGCTTTCATAGTTATATCACGTTGAGCCATGATCTGCTAATTTATTGGTTGAGCCTTAACGGTTCAATGCAGTTCAACCATTCAAAGCAGTTCAACGGTTCAACACTACGCGGTATTTTGAACCAGTTCAAAGATTATTTTATGTTTTGTTAACAATTTATATCTTTATTCTGCACAATCGGCGACGTCGTGACAGTGTAAGAGGAGGCTGAGAAGTTTTAACTCGTTGATCATTTGTAATTAACGTACTAGCTTCGCGGCACTTTGCAGCCGATAGGGTGTAATAAGCATTAACCACTAACGTGACGTGAAAGTGTATTCTATCTCTGTTATATATTTAATAAAGATATATCTCTCAACAAGTAGAAGGGATAATTATAAAAAAATATATCACGTAACCTCTAAAAGATTGTAAGAGAACTATAAAAATATAATCGGCTTATCCTAACTATCTTCATTAATTAACTTGGTAACAATTACTACTGAGAGAATCCAGACAAAATAGCAAACAAATGTAAACATTGTTTTGTAATTTTTTATATCAACTTGGCTTGAGAGAGAACATAAAGTTGCACAAAGTTGTAACTTAACGTTTTATCATCTAATAATGTAATAAATCAGAAAAAGTTAATTACATAATACCTTTCTTAATTCTTATCTAATGTAATGGTAGAGAAATAATTTATTTTCGGCAGAGATTCTTAGGTAACTATATACTAAAACGATACTATATTAAAATACATTTTTTCAAACATATCTGTTTTTATAAATAAGACAACTTAACGTTGCGAAGTGTATAAGGCACATAGATTTTCTTAACAGTTTACAATTATTATTTTAAATACCTCTGAGACACAATTAAAAAATAAATAGCCAATAAGAACACTTAAGAATAAAGTAGAGAGCAATACTTAGAATTCGGATATCTCATACAGAGGCAAAAGTACACTATAGAAGTAAAATCAAGATAGATTACATAACCACAATGGGAATAAGGAATTAGACAAAATTCTGCGAAAATGTATACATATTTTTTTTACTTGTAAATTGAACATTACAAGTCAAATTATTTCCAATTGATGAATATGATTATTGTATGAAATTACTACATTAATGATACAGTCCTCATTATATTTCATATTTTATGGAATCCCTACATTTAATATTTGGTCATATCTACAGGTAGTTTGTATGAGAAGCAATAACTTCAGTGGTAGAAAATGAGATTTTCAGTATATAAAATTCATACAAAATACACCAATGTATAATTCTGAGATTTCAAGTTATCAAAAATTATGTTTTAATGTGTCAAAAACATGGCCACAGTTCGATTCTGGCGCTTCATTTAAATATTTATGCATATTTTTTGTTACCTCCGATGAATCCATTCCTATGTCATATTCACTGATAGCTCGATATATCGCCTGCAACATTATCATAGTAAAATTATAATCAATTAAAACAAATTCAATTAAAACATTTGGAAAATAAGTTTTATCTTGGGTTAAAAAGATGTTTAATAAATCATAACTCACTTGTAATCCAGAGAAAAAGGTTTATTATAATAGAGATGCTTTTTAGTGTACAAACGTAATTAACTTAATTACTCGGAGCTACTGCTCCCGCCAGAATGGCGCACTATTCCAATACGTCATAATGACATTGACAGCTGTCAGATAGGGACGGATATGCCAATAGTCTAGTGTCGCCCGATTTTTCTTGACAATTTTATAGTATAAACTTAGCAATTCTAGTTGATTCTACAAAATATTTAAATACTGAGATTTCATATTTCTTGTTAAGAAATATATTGGACTAACAAAAACTTAGTACATATGAATTAAAACTCCAATCACAGATAATTTGGATTTATATCAAACTATTCTAAGCATTTTTAATTGTAATTGGTTATATAAAAAAATATTGCTTAATTATTATACTTACTTGAAAAGCAGGTTGTTTATCATTGTGAAATATCCCCCTGCTGCCGTGCAGCACGTAGACGCCGCGGCGCGTCGCGTCCGCGCACGCGTCCCCGTACGTGCACTGGTCCGACCGATAATTGTACCGACACGAGAGAACGCGCACCGCACGCTCGTGGTAATGGAATATTATATTTATTATATCCTGCAAAAGTACTACATCTTACTAATATTATAAATGAGAATGAGAGATGATTGATTTTGTTTGTAGCCTAAACTAAAAAACAGATCTCGATTAATTTTGGCATATACATAGAGCATAGTCTGGAAGAACACATAGGCTATTTATCTATTTTTTTTTAATCTACGCGGACTAAGTAGCTTCCTCTGTAAAGGCATTAACCCTCAGTAATGGAGTATATGAACAAGTTAACAACTAATTTCCCTAACTTGAATTTTGGTTGGGCCTAATAAATTTGGTCATCTCACTCTTGTATAGAAATTTTTATTTTAACAAACATTAACATTAACAAGTGCAAAGACCTTTTCTCATCATATTTTTATTGTAATACAATAAAAAATATTCAACAAACCTGATCTCCCCAGGGAATATACAATTTCCATTTAAGCATTACTGGGGTTACATATTCAACCCATCCAAAACTTCTCATTCTTGTCAAATTCATTAACATTACACCTGAATTAAGACCTAAAAAAAAGAAAGAATAGTCAAAGTACCTCAAAGTGTCTAAAGCCACAGTCTGATTCTATAAGTTATAAATTTTTGGCCTTTCATTACCAAAGAATTTATTATAATATTCATTTGCAATTTACCATATTTTCCATAAAAAGGATGCTTTGCAAACCTCGGATACCAAGATACATTAGGATTATCATCTTCAGCGGCCATTGCAGATATCTGAGAATCATTGAATTTTGTAAATTCACTCCATAGGTCATCCACCGGCTTCAAAAATAAAGTATCTGTATCAACATATATCATAGCATCTATATGAGGAATAAGTTTCTGGAAAAAAACAGATTTAATTCTCAGAAAAAAGTTGAAGAGAAAAAGTAACTGTTTCATAAATAAATGAATCTTTGAGTATTTGTAGAAAACATAAATAATTACTAACCGGTATAAACAATCTTTGGGCAGCACATTTACTAAACAAGTTCATCCAATCTTCCTTGTGAGCCTCTGGGAAGTGGATACCTTGCAACTCAAAATCTAATTGGTCTCCTACTAAAGATTTCCACTTACCAAGAGTGTCCTTAAATAAACTTCGCAATTTATCGTCAGTAAAAATAACGAAATGCACAGGAGTCTTAGTAAACATTAATACAGATTTAATAACATTTAAGGATTCGTTAAATCTTGAATCGCACACAACAAAGGACATTACTATTCTGCCCGGGCTTTTAACGCTTGTAGCTCTGCAAAAAATTAGGATAAGGTTATGCGCAGGAGATATAATTGTTAACTATATTGAGACATTAATTAATACTTGATGGAATCGCGTTAGTCGTAATATAATTGGTAAATGAGTTACCTTAATCGCTTCGGTATAACACTATCCTTAAAATTATTGTCATTTTCCTTGGTAGTTAAAATATATAAATAAATAGCGATAAAACAACAACATAAAGTTATTAAAAGTTTACAAAGAGGTGGACGCCTCATATTTATTTGCAACACTTACTAATACATTTAAATCATTACTTCCTAAATAAATTTTTAACTATTCACATTTAAAAACATAATATTTTGCAAAAAAAACATTGACTTCGAAAAAGTACGAATTAAAAACAATCAAAACAAACTGTCAAATCTGTCAAACAAAAATATAGGTTATAAATATCTTTAACATATCAATTCGACAGATAAGCCAAGATAAGCAGCAAATTTAATTCATTTTCTTCACATTACGTTTTCATTCATAGAAATATTTGGATGAATTTTCGACGACTATTTTAACGAAAGTCGAAGATATGTCTTTGTCCTTTGGTATTTCATAGACTTTCATTAGAAAAAAAATTACTGTTATAAATTAAATGCATTCATCACTCGCGTTCGCATCAAAAAAATTAATAATTGATGACTGTTTTTTTCTATCGTATAACACTAAAAAAATTATGTCAATGTCATAAAGTGTTACTAATTGCAGTTTTTATATACTCAGTCGTCTATGTAACGATTTTTAAAAATATTATGCTATAAAGTAACAGAAGTTAAATATAAATAGTTCTCATTGTTCACAAAAATGGTAGTTGGAGCTTTTCCTATTGCAAAGCTATCTGTGCTACTAATTAAACAGATCAGTAAACCTATTGCAAATATGTGTAAAGAAAGAGCCAAAAATAGTCCTTTTTTCAGGACTTATGTTTGTATGCCGCCAGCCCAATGTAAGTTACTAATCTTATAATATGTTGGAAATAATGTTTACAATTTTTAATTAATGTTTTGCTTTATTTTTCAGTTTATAACTGGTGTGAAGTAAAAGCAAAAATGTGGATTTTGAATTTAGGAAAACCTGTCAATATACCAGTACTCAGCCAGGAAATGGCAATCGAACTGGGGGCAAATCTTCTTGGTGAAACTGTAATTTTCGTTATTGGTGCTGGTCTTTTAATTGTTGAATATAATAGGTATGAATAGAATCAACAGTATACCTCTTAAGATTTGAAATGTGTGGTTTTAAAAATAGTGTTTTTATATTTCGCTCAATAAAAATTTCATTAATAATTACCAGGCAAGGCAATAAGGAGACAGCAAAGGAGGAAAAACGTGAACAAGAAATGAAGCATATACTTGGAACTATTACTGATCTTTTCTTCACAGTTCAACAGCAACAAACACAATTGAGGGAGTTGGAAAGAATCATACAATCAATGGGTAAAATCTTACATCCTAACCACATTACTCTTTAATCAAGGGAGTTTTATTATCATTTATTAATATAAGAGTTGTACTATCACAATCTTTTTTCAGATGTCAAAAAACCACCTTCTCCACAACAACCACCAGCACCAACATCGCCACCTAAAGGACCCACTATTAAAGAACCACAGAGTGTATCAAACACACCACAACTGCAAAACATTAACTATGATAGGTACTATGTTCCCCGCACACCTTACCCTGACAAAGGTATTATTCTGCAATCACTCAATTATATACAAATGGATGTTTTTAGTTCCCTTTTCAAAGCTCCTGAAACAGAAAAGGAACCAGAGCCTGAAACACCTACAAATCATAAAAGAGAACCAGCAGTTTTGTCACAAGCTTTGTACAACATTGAGAACAACTTTAGAAGTTTATTTTAAAGTAGTTTTCATTTTTATTGTTTGTGATATGTATAATTTATTGCTTATTTATTTTTAGTGGTTAAAGTTTGTAGGCACTTTTCTCCGGGGTTCCAATAAAGGGAAATATCCATAAGCATTAAATCAATGTAAGGAAAGTTTAATGTTGAAATGTGTTTTATTACTGTCTTGTTAAAATTGAAGTTTTTTGTTACCCTACTGCATAGCTTATTGTAAGAATAGCAAGTGTAGATGTTATAATATATAGCACTAATTATATTGCTATTTAGAAGTAGATAAATAAATCAATTTACACATTAACATCTTTTTGTGCATCAAACTATTTTCCCACAGAAAAATAATAAAAACCAAACCAATATTGTATGTAATAATATGCAGTATCATGGGAGACAGGAGAAAGCAACTCTAAATTGAGTGATATTCCTAAATATATGAATTCAAACTCAATTCTCAGATGAGATGACAGATGATAGTTATTTGGAGGACGAAAACCCGGTGCGCTGACCCTAAGGGAGTAGTATAAGGCAGGGGTGATGATGATGATGAATTCAAACTCAAAGAAACATAATATACATTTAATTTTCAAGCCATTCATCCATATATTTACAATCTTGTGGAGTAATAAGGCCAGTGGAGGAACACTTTAATATTAATGGACATACTCCGCATGGCACTTGTACCAGTCCAGGCGGAGGGATTAAAGATTCAATAGCTCTGTATACTTTGCTCCCATCAGATAATACACTACTTTCTGCCTTCCCATCATACACTAAAGTATTCAGAATTGTTATAACATCTTCCACTTCTAATTTTACCTGGAAACAAATCAATTTATTTCTATTAATTTTTCTCTTTACTGTTTCAAAACATTTTTATTAGTTTGATCTAACATCACAAATGATTATTGTTTCTATAAGAACAGCTCCAGCTCTACAGTTCTAGTTGACTAGCTTTTGCCTATGATCTTATCTATGTGAAATTTAAAAAAAAACATTGAATGTTTAAGCTGTTTAGGATACATGGTAAATGTTTGCCTCACTATTTTAGCTAATTCCAGTGGCTGCTTGCTTGTTTGCCATATAAATATAAAATAAACCAATGATTAAACAAAATAACTTACATTACTGATTCCTAAATCAGTTATGTACTTTTGTACTTCAACAGCTGATGCAAAGGACTGTGTCCTGCCCACCACTGGGCCTTGGGGATTGTTTTTAATTTTATCAGCTCTCTGCTGCAAGAACCTAAGGCATTGGCGGTTCAAAATATCTACAAATTCAGATTCAAAATCTTGATCTTGATACCATGCACCACCAGATATTGATCTATCAGGTTCTAAATTGTATAACATGTACACTTTCTTTTTAGATGCCTGTAATAAAAAAAAAACAAGTACAGTAACTTTCAGTTATATCTCAGACATAATATAAAACTCAATGATTTTAATAAGCAATTCTATTATTCTATTGCACACATCTAAATTAAAGACCTTAAAACTTACATTAACACATTTAACAGCTTTTATAACTTTTTTACTCTCGAGATTTTTCAATACTTTGGTCAATTGTGTGTTGGCGATGTTGGACCGTAACCTAATGTCTCGTATCCATATTCCTTTATTGCCAGCATCTTCGATTAAATTGTAGACAACTTTTTCCTCATTATCAGCACCTTTAACAGCTTGTTTTGACGACTGACCTTTTAACCTAAGGATTATTCCATAATTAGTTGTGTAAGTATGAATTTAGTTTGGTTTTAATTCATTGTAGTTAATAAATTACTTTTAAGTGAAGAGTTACCTGTATATGAGTGAACCTCCTTGATTATATAAATCGAATAATCCTTCCTGTAATAATTTATTAATTGCTGAAACAAGTTCTGCAGCAGAAAGTTCAGGCACCGCTGCTAATATATCTTTGTCAGAAATCCCTTTTGGGTGCTTTTTGGCAACATTCAAAATCTTCTCCGAAATTGGATCATCGTTTTTACTCGTGCTCATGTTAACTCTTATGTGGTAATACGAGCAGAGAAATTATTAAATATTTATTATTTGCTAATATTTCAACACCACAATACACTTGCATTTCAAATTGACTTTGACATTTTTTGTCTTAAGATGACGTCTGACGTTTGGGTCGAAGTTAAAGTCTGTTTTACAAGCAGGATAAAATGATACTTTATTATAACTGTCTAATAAATTGTAAACGTATCAATTTAATCTTAAACTGTGTATGATTTTCCTGATACAACTAAATGATTCAATTTAACCTTTTACTAATGTGTTAAATGTGTTATGTAAAAGGTCTTATTAAATTTTGAGTATGTTGGAATCGGATTGACAAATCTAAATGTCATCAACAGTACCGACAGCTAAATGTCTGACTTTGACAGACAGTGACACTAGTATTTTTGTGTAATAAAAAAAACAATAAACATTATAAACAGAACACTACATATACAGTAAAAACAATAATTATAACTTAAGGGAACTATTTCATATAATTGGAAACAAACAAAATGCTTCAACCCGAATTAAAGCCGATGCCTGTAAAACTGTATAACTCAATTATTGAGGATTTTAATAAAATGAATGCATTTAATCGGAAAGCCGAAAACGAGCTTCGAAAGAAGTACAAAGAGTAAGTTTCATTTTAACCTTTATTGTTTATTGAATAAAACGACTACTATTCAGTATATGAAAATTGTGTAACTTCATTTTCAGGCTGCCATCACCTACAATTGGTAGTATTATTTCACTTTTAGTCCAGAGATCTATGAAACAAAGCTATAGGAAGTCGCCGGTTATATCTAGCAAATATTACGAGTTATATGAAGAACTGATGCGTGACAAAAATAAGTCTGATGTGATTTTAAAGTAAGTATGCTATTGATAAGTCAACTAACTTCAAGTCCCTCAGTGGAAAAGTAAAGTGAGCTGGTGATTATGTTGATCATGAATCAAGTCAATGGTAACAACTTCTTATGATTATTAACCAAAATATGCGGTAGCATACTATTTAAAGCTAGATTTAATTCATAAATGTAAAACTTTAGACAAGCAATAAACTTACTTTAATAATTCAAATTTTTTAGACTATCTGAGAGCCAGGGTATATGTCCGGCACTGCTTGTGAGATCTCTGTTACAAAATGTATACTCTGACTCAATACAGGCCAAGAAATACTTAAAGGACACAACTCTTATTGAAAACAAGGATCTGTCTTATCAAATGTTTCTGGTATGCATTTTGTTTTTTTTTACATCACAACATTAACATGATCATTGCTACTATAATATAATTGTGGTATTGATTGAAATTGAAAAATGAATGAATGAAAAAAAAAAACTGCTTTTCATGTATTTACACATGTTATTTTTAAAAACATAATAGTAATTGGTCAATTTTCAGGGTGTTATGAATGACAATCAATACGGACATTATGCTGATGTAATAAAACAGTATGTATTTCTAAATTTTGTACAATTTTCCAGTTTATAATTTACTTTTTTTCTAAGAATATTAACTTTAGTTTAAATTTTAATATTAATAAAATTAATGATCAGTGTCTTTATGTAAAACTTTCAAATATATTTTGTTACAGATCTATTGGTCTAGAATACGAGTTACGGTTAGAAAGAAATTTAAGGTTAATGAATATAACATTTTCTGATGAGAACAATCTTAGATCTCGTGGGTATGATAAAACACCAGACTTCAAATTGGATGTCCCAATTGCTGTAGATGGATTTATAGTTAATTGGATAGAAAGCAAAGCAATGTTTGGTGATGAAGAAAATCATTCTGGTTATGTTAAGGATCAGTTAACATGCTATTGGAATAGATTTGGTCCAGGCTTGGTTATTTATTGGTTTGGCTATCTGGAAACCTTGGATTCAACCCCTGAAGTAAACAATATGTTTATCCTACGAACACATTTCCCACCTAAAGATAGTATTACTCAGTACAAAGCAGAATTATTAGAAATGAATTAACTGTGATTTCTTTAAAAAAAAAATGTGTAAAAATTGTTTTACTTTTTGTGTAAAAGATTTTTTTCAATTATAGATGTTTCATGATGTAAAAAGTGTTTTTCATAAATAAATTAATATATTTCGCTGTGGTTGCGTGCCTTCTGGCCATCTACATTTTGTGAGACATGGTATAAACATAAAATTATCTTCTACATTTTATGGATATAATACAATGAATTATGTTTGTTTTAAAAATGTGACTCCCTTTTCGATAGTTTTCTACGCCTTTTTTGCCTTTGCCTTTGTTTTTTTTTTTAAATTTACGAACGACAACTGTCAACTTCAATGTCACATGGCAAATGTCACAATAAGATCGAGAGTCATAAACAAAATAACATAACAAAATAATTGAATTCCAAGCATATGATTTGTTATAGATTTAATTAATACATAATGAATGATGAATCGGTTAATATTTCTCTAAGATCATGGAAGCGTTCAGTGGATCCTATTAACAAGGTAAATGTTTATAAAAGAAGTCGCGACTCCTGACCTAAAAAACGATCAGCCTTCAGTTGTAAATAGAATTATTTTATTTTTTCATAATTAAAAATTACTTAGGTTGGATATTCCGACGGAGTTATCGATGGACAAACTGCTACGTATCAGAATAGTTTTGATACAGGTTATGAACAAGGATTTAATTTCGGGTTTCAACTAGGACTTACAAACGCCAGGTAAATTAATAGAAATACGTAATTAAGTATTGACTAGGTTATGAACATTATATTGATTGTATTTTTTAAAGGTTACAAATACCGGCAAATGAACAATTAAGAGATCCAAGGAAGATCAATTGTCAAATATGCCTCAACAATAGTACAAATGGGAACACCATGAATTTATTTAACATACAAAGAGAAAAAAACGAACAATTTCTGTCTGGTAAAATGTGAGAATGTATTAATAAACTTTGTCTTATTAAACGGATTAACACAATACAAAAATTATAATTAAAACAAATGTTTAAAGAAAAATAATATAACTTTATTGCAGCTTAAAACTAAATGTTTTTAAATATTCTATGTTGAACAACCTTTCCTATTTCCAAACTATTCTTCAATCAATTTAATGTTACCATATGTAAGTTACAATGTAATTAGAACAGCATTCTTAGATCTACTAAACCAATTATTTCTATGTAGTAATGTTTTTTAGAAACTATTACATATTTCTAGGTTTCTTCTCTGGTGGTGGTTTCATATTTTCCTGTTTAATTTCAGTTTTAATATCAATATGTCCTTGCATTGAGCCATTTGTCATATCAGTGTTGATAGGATCCATTGGTTCCTGTTTGATTGTTATATTGTTTACATTATTACTGTCTATTGGTTTCTCCTTATCTGTCATATTCTCCGTCTTAACTGTCACACCATTGGTCTGGTAATACAAAAATTAAATTATTAACAAAATAACATTATTATAAAGAGTAAAGAATTGTATTTTTGTATATATTGAAATAACTGAAATACTACTTGGGCTGAGTTTAAAAATTCTTTAACCATTAGTAAGATAAGTTATAGGCTGTTTTTAATATTATTTTTTAAGATCGAGGCAAAGTCAGGCAACAGCTAGTAATATTATAAAGTGAGTTAACATTATTATGTGATATTGAAATTAGACCTGTTAATATGAAATAACCATAATAGTAGTTTGTTTTTTACTACAAATTAAAGTAACATCACTTGTAACATTTAATATTACTAAAGAACAAATTGATTGCAGTTTTTTAATTTGCTACAGATAACAATGTTTAGAAACATGTTTTTTTTTTAATAATTTACTTACCTGGCTAGATGTTGTTGGTATAACTGGCAATGGAAATTGCCTCACTAACTCGGCAAGCAACATATCTACTCTCTGGCGTTGAAAAAGAGTTGAAGGCTCCTCTTTTGGACCAGTACTCACTTCTTTAGGAGCAGATTGGGCAGAGTTGAATGGACTTGAACCTGAAGTACCGAAAAACATACACCTTTATTATTATACCTTTTATAATGTCTGCTGCACAAAAATGGGCCCTATTCCAATATCAACAGGACACTAAATATTTCACATAACAACAAACATAATCTAAATAGATTACCTGCTTTATTTGCTTTGAAATCCCACCAGTATCCTTTGCTTGGATGATATTTAGAATACATCATGGTTTCCTCAAATGAACATTGTAAGTGATGCACTGCTGACAGCTAAAACCAATCTTTATTATTAAATGGACTTCAAATTTGACTATTACAAAAATCCCTACCTTTGTAAGGTAAATATATTAACTCACCAATCTAGAATTCAAAACACTTGCTAAATCAGGCGCTTGGTAGACAATTCCAGCAATAATGTAATAATCAGCGAGGGGAATGACATGTTGTGGACTGTGCCTTTGCTGTTTCCTTATGACATATAATATAGGGTCTTGCACGTGTAAAAGAATATATTCCAAGCCAGTCATATTTCTGCAAAAAATATGGGAATTAAAAATGTAACAAAACGTAATAGCACTAAATGTCGGTGATACTTACTGTAGCTGATCCATACTTAAACGTTGCATTTTAACTACTTCATTATTACAAGTACGGTCGAAGAATGGATTTGATTTTTCTGAGAAGTAATCCATAATATTGGAAGGAGTTAATAAAGGAATCCAGGCAGAATCGTGCCATGAAAGCCCTAAAGGGTTTTCATTTGCTATATGCATCCCGCCAATCCGTGCAGGCATCATTTTGAAATTGTGCTTAAAATAATTAGCAGTAGTTGTATTTTATTTTAAAAATGTAACAAAAAGTAAAGAATGAAGAATGTTATTTTACTTGTCATTGACACAACTTCATGTGACAGCGTTGATTTTCGGAGTTGCCATTAGACAAACAGATCCTTTAAATGAATTATTTAAAAATAAGTCATTCTTTATTTATCCTGTGTGTAGAAGAGGAAGAGAAATGACCACCGACAACGAAGTCTTTTCTTTGTGCTTGTGTCACTGTGACAAATGGGAATGGCGGAGATGACAAAACTAATAACGATATTACCACTGTGTCTAAAAATGTTTTCTGTCTGTTTTATGTGAATATATGAGTGAATAAATTAATTCTTATGTTATCAGAAGAAATGAAGAACACTAAAAAGATTTTAATTTCACTGGTGCGACATTGTTATGATGTGATCGTTGATGTTTACTTACACAAAGTGTAATATTTGGTAAAATGTTTAGCGTACCATAATGAACGGTACCAACAATCTTTCGTCGTCCAGTTCATTTATAAATACACCTGAAACGCCCGACATCAGAAACGCATCAAATATGAAGGTGGAGAATATAAATCGGGCGACCTCTTCAAAGGATAACACTCGCGATAGTTCAGAAGACCTATTAGATCTCAAAGGAAAAGTCGAATCAAGGTTGCTGTCGATGTGGAATAATGTAAAATTTGGTTGGACAGTTAAATTAAAAACAACGTTTTCAAAAGAATCCCCCGTTTGGCTTCTAGGTCGTTGTTATCATCGAAAGTTAAGTCCAAGTGGATCATTGGAATCGTCAACGGAAATCGGAACGGAAGCTACTGCACATGAAACTGTCGAACAAATTTATGGAGAAGGCATAGAAGGCTTTAAATCAGACTTTATAAGCAGAATATGGATGACATATAGAAGAGAATTTCCAACCATGGCTGGATCTACTTATACTTCCGACTGTGGTTGGGGTTGTATGCTACGAAGTGGACAAATGTTACTAGCTCAGGCCTTGATATGTCATTTTCTTGGCCGCTCATGGAGATGGTTACCAGATAGACCTATACAAAATGCTAGAGAATTCCAAGAAGACTGCATCCACAGGATGATAATTAAATGGTTTGGAGACAAGTCATCTGTGAACAGTCCTCTTTCTATACATCAAATGGTTAGTTTGGGTGAAGCTTTGGGAAAGAAGGCGGGAGACTGGTATGGACCTGCTTCTGTTGCACATTGTTTGAAATCTGTAATGGCTGCAGCTTCCAAAGAGAATTACGAGTTTGATAATTTGGAAGTATATGTTGCACAAGAATCAACAGTGTATTTAGAAGATGTGAATTCACTTTGCCGTCTACCAAACATTGGATGGAAGTCACTTATTCTATTAGTACCGGTAAAACTTGGTACAGACAAACTAAACCCTATTTATGGTCCTTGTTTGACATCACTTTTGACATTGGATTTTTGCATAGGTATAATTGGAGGAAGGCCTAAGCATTCATTGTACTTTGTTGGATATCAAGATGATAGACTTATTCATTTAGACCCACATTACTGCCAAGAAATGGTTGATGTGTGGCAACCTAATTTTTCACTGCAGTCATTTCATTGTCGTTCCCCACGAAAAATGCCTATTAGTAAAATGGATCCATCATGTTGCATCGGTTTCTATCTTCCAACACAACATGACTTTGAGACTTTTGTTAATATCATTAAAACATTCCTAGTACCACAAGGAATGGCATCAACCAATGAATACCCAATGTTTACAATACAACATGGATCTCGTAAGAAACACATGGATCCACCTCAGATACGGTACTCCATCTATGAATCTGAACTCAACTGGACTACTGCAGCTGTGCATGATAGTGATACAGATTTGGAGTCAGAAGAATTTGTTCTTGTGTGATATTTATAATTTATACCAAACGAAATTAGATAAATTATGCTACTAAACTGCTCTTTAATTAGTTTATTATAAGTAAAGAATATGTTGTTAAATAGACATTCAAACCATTAATGTTAGAAAACAAAGTGCTGTCTTGTTAAAGTTAAGAAATATATTTCTAACATCTTGAATAGAAGCTTTTACTGTACAAAGGCACACTCACAAAAATGTTAATCAAATCCACTACTTATTTTAAAACATACAGTTTGTAATAGATATTAGCTTTGCCAAAGATACATAAATGGATAGGTTATCAAAATATATCACTTTTTGAAATGTATACTATACTATTGCAATGAGTTTTAAAAAAATGTATTCATGACAATCAAAATAATTCTGTGTCATTGTATTATAACATTTTGTGTACTTAAATTTTATTTAATTTAAAATTGACTTATTGTATGTTCAGTCAACTAATAAAGTAAAGCAAATGAGTTTGTTCTTTTGCTTCAAATGCTGCTCAAATTGAATGCTTCTAGTGAAATATACATTTGAATGTTTACCTGTAAAGGTCTAAAATAAATAAAAAGAATACCACAATACAGATTTATTATTACACTCATATGAAATATTAAAAATCTATCAGCTAACTTATCTATTTCTTAGCTAAAAATCTTCTCACATCCTAAATACATATATTTGGTTGTTTTACAAGTTCTTTACTCTTCAATATTTATGTCAATATTTAAAAACACTTCCTCCTCCATCTTTATATAAGCTATCACTTACAGATTAAAAACAGTAAAGTTTCGAGTTTATTCTGTATATCGTTGTTTACGAAAATAGTCCATGGCATTATAAACAAGGTGAGGTGCTATATTGTGCAATGGATGCACTGGATTAACTTCATTGCGAGTTGAACCTACAATATTAGTATCACCAGTACAGGTACCATGCTGAGCTATTGATAACCCACTTAATGTGTAGCATGTATGGTAAATATCTCTCGGCCTGGAAACACAATTATTGGAATTAGAACACAACAGTAGAGTAATTTATTGTGATGTAATAACAACAAAAACAACAATGAAAATTAGCTTACACAATAATGTATACTGGATATATATTTTTAACTAGTATATTTAGAAAATAAGGTCTAGTAACCCCTAACTTAGGGTAGGCTCCAAGCTCCTCAGAGCATATATAGTGAGCGCACTATCATCAACTGATAATGATGATAATATTTAGAGATGTTTATTTTTTTATAACAAATTATAATATAGAAATATGTACAATAATGATTTACATTAATTCTATATTATTACTCACTTTCCAGGTTTGTCAATAAGCCCTCCATCCGGAGATTGACAACAGATTATGATGTATTCTTGCAAAGCACCTTGATTAAATAGTACTTTATCTACTAGCTCTTTATTTTCTGAAACGTAATATAATTGGCTTAGATTTTAGGTTAAAAGTCACTTTAAAATTTTTAGTTTAAACCAATAAAACATTTAAGTCCTTTCTTCAATTTAATATACTAACCTTGAGAAAAAATTGCACTTATAATAGGAAAAATGGCACCTTGCCAAAATGAATAGCAACCATCAACTAATTTATTAGTTCTCCCTTGAAATCCCCCTTCAACACGCATTTGTCTATTCACACACCACCTCAGCAGAGCATCTACATCACACAGTTGTGTCCTGTTAAGGAGCGCTAAAGATGCAACACCACAAAATGCATAACCCCCATGTGCCTCCATTCCTGGACATCCGGCAAAACCACCTTCATAAGTCTGACAACTGACTATCCACTCTGCAGTTTTATCAAACAATTCATCTGTATATATGTTAGTTAATTTTGCTACAGTCACAGCACAATATGCACCTCTAATGTCTTGTTCACCACCTATATGCAATGCAAAAGAACCATCAACACTCCGCACTGCCCATAGGAAATTTTGCAGTGTTTTCCTATTGATAGAAGCATAAGCTTCATCTGTCCCTATTATACAAAGGGCATTGATAGCTGCATATGTTGTGCCAAGATGAGCAAACTGACTAGGTCCTCCGCCATAACCACCATCAGGATGCTGGCAATGTGCAAGGAACTCAACAACATTAGACAATATCTTTGCATCAGGTAGATCATTCAATAGCCATAAAGCATGAAGTATCCAATAGACTAGCCATGGTCGACTTGCTTCCAGACATCTGTAGCTTTTTGGTAAGTTCAAGAGCCAGCTATTCAACAACTTGCTGTGAAGTTTTCTATTAAGTTTTGGCATGTTAGGATCAATTGATGCCTTACATTCAAAGAACTTCAACATTTTCATAATCATCATTTCAACTTCAACCTGCAAAAAATATTTATATTGACCAATCTGATGCATATTATGTTTTATTTTGGGAAGTATTTAGGTAGTTAAACACTGCACAAACCTGTTCAGAAGACGTGTTTGTAACAATTTTCTCATCGTCGTAGATTTCTGAGGTAATGTCACAAAGCAGTCGAATGTGATTATCCATTTTCGGCTTTGTTTTAAGCTGTGCTTTGCGCTTGTAATTTCTTTTCATACCGGTTACGATTACATTACACTGAAACTTGTACGTGACTCAGTTCGAATATCAATTGTCCTGCATAATTGATGTTAATCTATTCAAGTAACATAATTTTATATACAAGTTCAGATCAAGAACATCGTAGCAAGAACTAAAGGCAATAACAAATAATACCGCTATCGGAAATATAGAGTTAGGTGCTTAAAACTTTATCGATTATTACTTAACAATACTAAGTAAAGCCGACATGTATTTATTGATTAATATGCAAAGTAAAATATACTGAAAAACTGAAAATGAAAAATAACCTCTACCTCTATTCCCATTCCCTATCATCTGTCTCACCTTTACTTGTCAATGTGACATTGTAAAAAGAAATAAGGCGCGTTTAAGTTAAGGTGTAAAATCAAGTTTTCAAGTTTATCACAACCATCGCCGTAAGTATCAAGTTACCATAACATCAAGTAAGAATGAGTTGTCTTACCTATAAACGATTAACTATTTACTACGGCTTTTAATTTCTTTAGTAGTTTCAATTTATTTACTATTCTATTTATTCCAAATGCTTTTGTAAGGAAAAAGAAATTAAAAAATTAAACGTCAAAAGCATTCTGTCAAAATGTCAAAATCAATGCGAGATGCAGGTGTAGTTTATAACCTATTTTTATTTATTATAGACTAAAAGTAAAATAAAGTAATTGATTTCTTTAAAGTTGAGGTATCAATGCGACGATTTATTAAAGTGACATAGGAAGAATACTTTTCGGCAATTATAAAAAATGGGTAAAGGTAAAAGTTTTTTTGTCAAGAAACGAAAAGGCAACAAGAAAATAGTTAATAAGAAAAGAAAAAAGTCATCCAAAGAAGTAGAAATCGTTAATAAAAAAGCAATATTCAATCGATATAAAAATAAGCAAAAGATAGAAGAAGAATTGGTGAAAAAAAAGCAAATAGAGGAGAAGTTTCGTAAAGCAAACACACAGTACTCAGAGAGCGAAGAAGAAGAAGATACTTACAACCAACTTGTTTCATGTTTCGTAAATCCAAGCAAAAGCAAGCATGTAGTGGACAGTGAAAGTTCCGATAGCACTGAAAGTGATGTGTCCGATAATGATATACAATCGTTAAATGGTGAAGTTAACGACAAAGATGATTCTAAAGAGACTGAGGATTTAGAAGAAGATGAAACAAGTGAAATAATGATGGTAGGTAAGTTAACTTAATTGTTCATATGTGACTAGTAAGGCATACTTTGATTCTTAGTTTCCTTGTTAGAAATTTAAATATACAACTTTAAAAATATTTTTTATTGCATTTCAATTATTGGGGGATTGGTAATGGGCCGTGAAAAAATAACATAAATCTAGTATATGTAATAAAAGTATGTTTACACTTTTTTCATTATCTGTTTTAGATGGCAGATACTGATATGGAAATTGAGACAGATGTAGCTGATGATCCATTCACAAAACATTATCAGTATGAACTTAGTGATGAATTATTGGTATCACTATCAAGTAATTCACCAACCATTGAGAATGTAACAAAAGTGTGGCCAGTGCTTGGAAATTTAATTATAACTATCCCTAAGCCAGTAAAAACAGCAGCAGCAAAAATCAAACCAAAAATCTCTATTCTAGAAGAAAAAATGTATGCTCCTGAAGGATCTGTACCAAATCATATTAATAATGTGGATTTTAATAAGCTGTGTATAAAGTCACAAATACATGGCAACATTGTGTCTGCAAATAAAACAAATTTGATAAAAAAGGATATGGATTTAACTGATATTTTTACTCCACTACAAAAAGAATTATTCTCTGTTATGAATAACTACCAAGATCTGTATTATCCAGAAAGAAGTTTTAGTAATGCTGATGAAATTCGTTATACATATTGTCTTCATGTGGTGAATCACATGCTGAAAACTCGTATCAAAATTCTGCATCATAACTCCAAAATAGCTCGGAAATCTGATATGTCTGATGAGTATCGAGATCAGGGATTAGTGAGACCAAAGGTGAGAGACCCTCCTATAAAACATCATACATGAGGATTTTTAAAAAATGGTATAAAACATAGGTTATGTTACTCACTGGTAATATAGCTTTTTATTAGTGAAAAAATATTTTAAATCGACCCAATCGTTTTTGAATTATTTTAATAATTTACTACTACTACTTTCCTCATTATATTATTAGTATGGATTATTTTTTGACTGCATTTTGTTTAGATTCTTTTTTTTCTGCACATAGATAACTTTTTTGTATACCATAGTTAGTTCAAATACACCAGATTTTTATGGTGATGTTTTCCTAGTTTAATATTGCATTCCATATTACATTGTAACTGATAACAATAATGCAAATATTACAGGTTTTAATTATGGTACCATTCAAAGATGCAGCATATAGAGTGGTCAAAACATTAATAGAGATATTGGTCCCGAAAGAATCTGGACAGGTTGTGAATAAGAATAGATTTGAAGAAGATTTCACTGGTGGTGAGCTGCTGATGCCAACTAAAAATCCCAAACCGGAAGACTATGAGTTACTCTTTAGTGGCAACACAGAGGACACATTTAGATTAGGAATGACACTAACCAAGAAGACACTAAAGGTTTCTTTTTTTATTAAACTATCTTACTAATATTATAAACGCATGTTTGCATGGTTGGATGTTTGTTAGGATTTGTAGCTTAAATAGATCAATGGACCTTGATAAAATTTGGCAAGGAAATAAAGCATAGTCTCCGAGAACAAATAAGCTACTTATAATTTAATGTGCTTGTGCTTGATTTTTTTTTAATGATGCAATACAATTTTTATTTTTAATAGTGGACTAGCAAGGTCAATTAGTGTCTGAGTGTGTTAATATTATCTATTTAGATGTTCATTTGATTATATTTTACTTAACTGATGTCTTATTCAGAGACAATTTATCAATTCACACAAATATGCCTTCAAGCTTTCCCTTCTCTTGTATTGATTTTTAATTCTTATAATTTTTGTTCCAGCTTTACACAGATTTCTATTCATCGGACATTTTAATAGCTTCTCCGTTAGGACTCCGTATGATAGTGGGTGCGGAAGGTGAAGAGGACCGCGACTATGATTTCTTAGCATCAATAGAAATATTAATAATGGACCAAGCGGATGTTTTCCTGATGCAGAATTGGGATCATTTATTGCATGTGTTGGATCATTTTCATCTTCAACCGAAAAAGACACATGACACAGATTATTCTAGAGTCAGATCGTGGGCTGTTAATGGATGGTCTAAATATTATAGGTAAGTAAACTATCTTATTTTTAATCTTATCTGTAACTCGAATAAGAAAAAAACCTGTATTAAACCACTGTGGTGATAGTATACCGACAGTGATCTCTCATAGAGGAACAGAGTGAGGAGTGGAACAAAACTATAGTTTAAGCTTTCGGCCGCGACTCCGTTCGCAAGGAATTAAAAAAAAATTTAGCCTATCCTTCCAGATTGTATTGTTTTAAGTCGTTACGATACCTTCCATTAAGTATGTATTAGTCAAAATTTTCGCATTTATAATATTAGTAAGACTAAGAACTGTGGTGCTTTAAGCCGCTTTTTAACGCGAAAGCATATAAATGTTTCTCCCTTAGTATTTTCACACATGTAAGAAATTGTGACTATAAATTAACAACTACTTTTTTTATTTCAGACAAACATTAATATTTTCATCAGTGTCATTGCCGGAAATAAAGTCTATTATAAATAGAAAGTGTCAAAATTACGCCGGCAAAGTGCTGTCGGCGAATCCAGTAGAAATTGGTAGCATACAGCAAGTTGTACTGCAAGTTCCCCAACTGTTCCATAGGTTTGTACCCTTTTTTAATTTAATTTGATGTAGAAAAATCACAGATTAATTTTATAAACTATTACTGACACCTTGTCTATGGACAGTTATACTATATTTTTAGATGATAGTATAACTTTTATTATTAATGATATTATCCTTCTATTGTAATCAAACACACTGCTTTGTACTGTATTTTTGGCTGAGCTGTTGCTTTAACTTAAATTCACAATAGTACTAGATGGCGCTACTATCGCGTATTTTTTAATTTTTTGATTGACAACGAACGTAACGAAATTATTATGTTAATAATTTTTTTTTTTACTAATTAGTTACAATAGGATTTAAATCGTGTTTTGTTTTTGTTTCAGATTTAATGCGACGTCTCCAATGGCGGCTGTGGAGAGCAGATTTGAATATTTCGTGAAGGAGATTCTGCCAAAACAACGCGACACTCTGATGAGCCACACCCTCATTTATGTGCCGAGTTACTTTGATTTTGTTAGATTAAGAAATTATTTTAAGAAAGAAGATATTAGTTTTGTACAAATATGCGAATATTCTAAGGTAAGTTGTCTGTAACGATATTTAAATATGTAACATCGTCTTAAATGATAAAGCCATGCTTAAAAAATGCTAAATTCCATTAAAATTTTGACATCTATTCGATTATAAGTGGCGTTTAAGAAGTGAAATGTTAATGATTCGTTCCAGTTTTATTCGTGGATTATCAAGTCCTTGCAACCAAAGCATTAATATTAAAAGCGTGCACACACCTGAAACTAAATTATCGCACAACTGTTTAGTCTCGCTTTGACTCCTATAGCTTTTTAGGAGGTACATCACTCGATTTATAGTTGTGCAACTAAACAGTTGAATTGGCTGCGAAACAATTGAAACAGTTTTGCGATAGTATAGTAAAAGGCGTGCGCCCGCTATAAATATATTTACTATACAGGATGGCAAGATAGCGCGAGCTCGAGACATGTTCTTCCACACTGAGGCACATTTCCTGCTGTACTCGGAGAGAGTCCACTTCTTCAGAAGGTTCAGGATAAAAGGCATCCGGCATATCATATTCTATCAACCTTCTACTTATCCACATTTCTATTCCGAAATGTGCAACCTTATGCAGGTAGGTCTTTCAAATTAGTATATTTTTAATCTATGGCCATAACTATTTTTAATAGACTCATGCTGAAATAAATTAGGTCATCAATAATAAAAGATTGATTTTTTTTATAATGTATAGCGAGCAAGTAACCACCTGAATCCGCCAAAATGTCAAAGCGACCCCTGCCCATAGACATCCGCAATTGCAGATGCGTTGCCTACCCTTAATCGACAGTGGATGAGACGCACATAAGAAGGATAATTTCCCTCCCTGTGCATCTCCACCGTCAAATCTACTGATCATTACAATCCTCACTCAATATTAAAAAGGGTGGAAAGCGAAAGGGACTAAAATTAGACCTTCGGTTTTCTAAAATTAAGAAACGGAATAACGTCCACTTTACGCCTATCTTCTGTGTGGTCGTGGTATTGCAACTGGCGTGCGGCCAAATCTCTATCTACTTTTTAAATATTTGTTTTATTTGCAGGAAAGTAATCAAAACAAATATGGAGGTAGTGAATGTAACATGACAGTGACGACGCTGCACTGTAAGTACGACGCGGTGCGCGTGTCCGCCGCGCTCGGCGCCGCGCGGCTCGCGCGACTCGCCGCATCCGACAAGGCCGTGCATATGTTCGTCACTGGAGACTAATTAAATTCTCACAACATTGATGTTTTTTATTTTAAACCTATGCTCAATAAGTTTGTATTGTTTAAGTCTGGAAGAGTAGCTAAAGAAAAAATCATTTTTTAAGGCATATCTGGTCTTTTTATTTATCATAACTTATTCAGTACAGATAATACAAAACTAAATAGATTCAAAGTTGCAAACCACAGAAATCAAAGCATTCACATATTGATCGATAAAAATAATCGTTTCTATTATTTTTTCCAGTTTCTAAACAAAAAAACAGGGGGTATATTCGTTTCGTGTCTTGATATCTTGTTAATATTTTTAATTAAATTGTTTTCCACCTATAAGGGAAAAGTTTTAGCTTCCCATATTTAGCTAGGAAAAGCGAAGTCATGTCGCAATCAGTGGTATTCTAGTGTTTGAGGCAAATGCCGAGCAATCGATCCTCCTTCTCAAATACTCAGATTTGCAATTCCGCCTGAGTTATAGGAAAGAGCTTTTCTCGCGTACAATTTCCTCTTGCCGTCCTCATTTGAGCCTTATCTTTGAAGTATATTTCGCCAATCCACGCTTAATACAGTAAGGCTGTCCGATCCCATTGAATAAATTATTTTTAGACTTATGCTAATGTTGCGTAATATGTTGAAACTTATACGCTAATGTGTTACATTGATTATAATTGTAGAAGTTAGAGTCATAATTGAAAAACAATTTACAACTGATGTAATTTATTATGTTACTGGAATTCACCGACATTAGCAACGGCACTTTGTAACGTTTCATTTGCGTACATACATACGACCCCTAAAAGTTTTCAATTATAAATTTGGAATTTTACGTATCAAATAGAATATTTAAGACTTTTGCATCCAGCTCAGATATTTAAATAAAACTTCACACTATTGAAAATCAAGGTTAGCGTTGCCATACACAAAGCATAACACATGAGTCCCGATTCTTATGTACTGCATGTAATTTGTTTTTTTCTAATGAAATAGTTTGTTGAAACAAAGATATAGAGATGCATTGTTTCTGGCCGGATTGCTTTAAAAACTTCGAAAGTTTCCTTCCTTCCTTCTCAATATTTTTTATATCATCTAGGTACTTATATATCCGTGATAATAAATTATGAATGAGTATGAAGCCATCTCTTCAAAACAGCTCTAAAAAATCGAGGGCGGCATAAAAGTTAATGTCTAAAAAAAGTTATAATTTATAGACTGTACTTGACGTCTTAATTGTCCTATTTTTATTCTGCTACATTATTTTTTTCGTTGTTTTTTTTTTTACCTAATAAATACATGGTAATCCTACTTAGCTTAATTATCAGTAACATTTTATATTTCACCTTACTTCGTTAATAATTACGATGGTGTATAATTCTATTATATAGAGGAAATTAAAAAATTACTTTATTTCGTAAGTATTTTTACCATTTTAAAATACAATTCATTCGACAATAATAAATAGGTAAACATTTTCACCACAAATAAAACAATTATCAATATAAAGCTCTACAACAATTTTTTTTGCTAAAACTATATTTTAGTGGAATTAAAATGTTGTTCTGCTTTACGAACTAAGGAAACTGTCTTACTATTTAACACTCAGTGATGAATTTCCATTATATGTATTTAAAGGCAATGATGTGGAACTTAACTAAATATTTTGTATCGTTGAGATATAACTTAAATATTTTAATTCAAATTAAGTGGCAGTTTTTATTAGGCTTTATCTATTGTCTATTGTTATAGTAAAGAAAGACGGACAACATTCATATATAAATTAGGCTTTAAAACTACTAAATGTTTAAATAAGAAAAATCTTTCAAATCAACAACATTAACCTATAATATGATAATTACCATAGCTTTGGTATTACATTTGACTAGAACCACTCTATTTTCCAGTCTATTACAAAAAACCCCACATACGCCTGAACACAAAGTTAAATACATGTTATTAACATATCTAAATTATTTCTAATAAATAGCTATTTTTTTATCTGTCCTATCCAAATAGATCACGATTTACACACTCCGTATAAGCTAATGGCAATTTCCTTTTCTCACTTTCAAAACATTCGTTTCAACTACACTTTAATAAGTCATTAACGTTCATTATTTTCACTTCGATTCACAATTAATAGTCTGTTATAGAGTGTCATTTGTTCTTATTCCTGTACGTCATGTGGTGTCCGTGTCGTTGGTTCCGGAATCATTAGAAGTAACATTAACGGGCTTCGTATTTTGGAATGAAGATGTATTCGTTATATTGGTGGGAGATTCAAAATCGAGACCCGTATCATCTGTTGTATTCGCGTACGTTGGCTCTAGAAGATTCGATGGTAAGGAAAAGGTGACGTTCTCGTTCACTGAGGTATTGCTTCGTCCTGCAAAAGATAATATTAATGTTAACTTTATTTTATTTTTGTTATAGAATATGAAAACATGTGCCGATCACGCAGTGGGATCAGGGTAAGGTGATATTTTTCAAAATAGTAGAGATCAAATAGTTTTTTGGTTTCTCTAGAAATATTCTTATTTTTCTAACAATAAGCTAGTAATGTATAATACATCTCCCTATTGTGGCGGAAATTAATCGAAGCTAAGACCGTATTGCTGCCGCTAGGTTACTGCATTGCAGGAATGGCATCTCATTTAGAATCGGATCAGACCGGAGCTATCCTGATTAAACCAATTTGTTGTATTAACTAAATAAAATCTCAAGAAGAATAACGAAGTAAATATCTAGAGGTAACTTTTTTTAAAATACGATACCTCTTCAAGGCACTGTTGAACACAGTCATTCAAGGACCCTTGTAACACATTTTCGCCACAGAAACATCATAAATATAGTCACATTGCGAATTAGAACCCAAAGAGGGAAGCGGATTATAAATAAATCGTTTTAAACCGCACAGTGAATACATAGCAATCTCTTGTATGTAAACAAATTATTATTAGATTAGATACAAATTAATAGAGTATTTAAAAACCTTGGAATGGCGTGTGTTTGTGAGTTATGAATTAAACAGGATAAGTATATTTGTATTTCTACGGTCATTAACCAAGTCCTTGGTGTACTTTATGCTCATTTAGTTCAATGTATTTAATGTAAACATTTTTTTAAATATAAATAACTAGTTGCTCACTTTTTGCTTCGCCTGTTTGTATTTTGTTATGTTTCTATTACATGATAAGAATATTTTCTTCGCCTGAGATGGCCATTGTTTCAAACACTCTAGTACCGAATGTTAGATTCTAGACATTATTTAAAGGTATGTTCTCTATAACAATAAAACGTTCCAGTTAAGACACGAAATTTGTCTATTTTAAACTGGAATTATATTTAGGCCAGATCGATACTTCGATTGCGCTTAGCATTGCAACAGAGTATCGGGCGAGAACATATGCACTATCTTGCTGAGGAACGTAAACATTGTCTTGGAAACATGAGATTTTCAAGATGTGGTATATCGAATAAAATGAACCGGATTCTGTTTGGCAAATTGTGAGCTTTGTAATGTGAATTATTTATAGGCGTTGTTTGGTCTCCCTTGGTGTTGAGTTTGAATACGAAGTCTACAATTAGGGGCTCTTAATCACCAAAAAACTGTTTCACTATGTATTTTATGAAGCAGTATGTTTGGTTGAATAGAAACTTGGATTTCGATTGGTAGCAATGTCAAGAGCTCGTTGCAAACATCGCATTGTCCAATAATTGCATTTTTGTTATTCAAAACTGTGTGATTTACGTAGATTAAGGATAAAAAGTAAGAACAATGTACCGAGTAATCAGTTATGCAGGAGTGGTATTCAGTACGAGCGGTCCGTCTATTCTGGGCAATTCGGCCGAAATCACTGCGTGATTTATATCTTATAAACATGATCAGTGAATTGCCGAGTGCTGGTTATTGTAGCTACCTGCAGCTATATTTAGAGTTATTGCTGCGCCTGGCTGGACCAGCGTTCGCTCATTTCGCCTCTTCTCAAAGTTTTACATCATGTTATCACTTCGATGTTTTATTTATTATCCAGCAATTATAAATTGGCTACATATTAAAATGTTCCTATTTATTTAATGTGAAAACTAAAGTTGTCAAATAATTCGTGTAGTCTTATCGTAACATTCGGTCGGTTCATCTTCGATCACAGAAAAATTAGGCCGCAATCAAAGTCAAAGTCTCAAGTTATGGTTGCATAAATGTGTCAGAGTTTTTATTTACGGTTGATAAGTGTGGGAAATGTGGGAAAATTTTAAAATGCTAACAAGTCTTAGGTAAAAAAATAGCACAAGAAATAGGAAATAGAAAGCAATATAAAGAGATTATAACAGATAGGTAGTCATAAATTTTGCTAAGAATATTATGACACCGGTAGCGTGACGGTCTTGTGGGCGAGCAGCGAGCGATATTCTTGCTTACGAAAGTGAAGCCTCAGTCCAGGAAACGAGTCACTTGCTTGGCTTCGACTTTTATAAACACGTTACATACCTAACAATTGTAAAGTACGTCTGCAACATTGTGCCGACACCTTGATGCACATCTTTACATTTATAAGGTTTATTGCGGTTGAACATTTCAAAAGTTCCGGTCAAGGTAATTTTATATTATAAATGATGCGTAAAATACCTCTAATATTGTAACGTCCTGTTCGTTTTCAGATTCGTAAGCATGAAACTTACACAAAAATTATAAATAAAAATTGTTAGAGCCGTTTCCGCTGTAATTGGAATTTAAAAAATAAATAAAAAAGATAATGTAAATAATAGTTCGTGTTGATAAAACGTCACAACAATAACTCGTTTGATGTGCCAGAATGGGCGCGGATAAAAGTGCAGTGAACGTAAAATGCCGTCGATAGCATAATGAAATCACAAAGCTCACATATTTTATTATCGTGTAATGTCTTTATAATTACACAAATAATTCAGCAGTTAATTTAATGCTGGCCTGTGCTAAAACTGTTTAATAGTTGGCGCTAAAATTTTATGAAGCTTCAGCGGTTGTTTATCATAGCATTCATTGCATAGT